ACGCAAGGCGTAGGTACCCTCGATCTGCGGTGCGCAGGTGTCAAAACAATATAAACAAAAGTGCCAACTTAAATACACTACACTTCTCCCTCCTTATATAATAACAAAATCTAAAAATATTTAATACATTTAAGATTCCTCTTGGATCTTCTCACCTGCTCCTCAGACTCTACTACCTTATCTACCTCCTTACATTCTATTACATTATCTACATCCTTACATTCTATTACATTATCTACATCCTTACATCCTACATTTACCTTATTCCCTAACTTACAGTTCTCATCCTCTTTACTAACAATTTCATTGTGACTACTAACTAACTGATTATCCCTACCACCTTCCTGACTAACTACACCAACTGTAAAATCATAGTCTACTATCTGATTAACATGCCTACGCCAAGTCTTATTTAGGCTTGGTATTAGTACAAAATATGTTTTGGGGCCAATTTTTTTTGATATTACCCCCTTAATCCAGTTTTTTTTATTTACATTTCTATAATCACGTACAGCTACCGTATCCTGTTCTTTAAAATTCCTAACCTTATTTCCCTTATAGTATTTGATTTGATTTTGTTGCGCCTTAGCGACATTTCCTGCCACATCAACTTTACCATCGTCCTTGTTTATACCTATTTCATTCTTAACACCTAAACTTAATCTACTATTTACATCGTTTTTAGAAAAATCATTTATAAAATTTAAAACTGTTCTCACTTTCCTTCCCAACATTAGTTCAGCTGGAGAAACTCCTGTAGAACAATGAGGTGTCACCCTGTATGATAACAAGAACTTATTTAATATAAGGTTTATATTTGAAAATGGACCCTTACCCATAGCCCTAATTAGACTATGCTTAACTGTTTTGACTCCATTTTCGGCTTGCCCATTTGTAGCTGGACAATAAGGTGGAGATGTCTTAAATTTTATTTTATTTTTATTTAAAAATGTTTCAAATTCCACTGATTTAAAATTCGTGGCATTTTCGGAAACTATGCATAACGGTAACCCAAATCTAGCAAACAATTCTCGCAAAATATTAATGGTAGTACTTGACTTGACATTATTCGTTATGATAGCTTCCATCCATTTACTATGTGCATCTAACACCACCAGAATATAATGTTTTTCAAAAATTGGACCTAAGTAATCGATATGGAGTCTTTCCCAAGGATTTTTTGGGAATTCCCAAGGAGTTAATATCGCCTTAGGTGGATCATTTCTAGTCAATAAACAACTTTCACAACTCTTAATATTTTTTTCAATATCTTGATTAATTTGAGGCCACCATACATAAGAACGTGCCAAGCTTTTTGTTTTTACCATTCCCATATGAGTTTGGTGCAGCTGAGACAAAATTTTTTTTTGCAATGATTTGGGAATAACTACTTTATGTCCCAACATTATGCATCCCTTTTCAATTGTTAACTCGTTTTTATACAATGCGTATGATTGGAATTCCGTTGGCACCTTATTGGGCCACCCCTGTACTATAAATTTTTTAATTTCATTTAACATGTTATCTCTCCCCGTTTCCTGACTTATCAAATCGCAGTCCACAGGCAGATCTGTATTATCCGCGATGAACCTAAAATGTGTTGACTCAACCTCCAACTCCCTTAACTCCTCTTTTAAAGGTAATCTTGACAAACAATCAGCCGAATTTAATTTAGTATTTACATATTCAATTTCATAATTATAATTGGATAATATTAACGCCCATCTTTGTAACCTGTGAGCCGTCAAAACCGGTATACCCTTTTTTGACCCAAATAATGTAACCAAAATGTCATCAAGGAAAACAACTACCCCTTCCAAATCTATTAACACCTGTTCCATAATTTTTTGGAATAGGGCAGGTGCACTTGAAATGCCAAATGCCAATCTATTTTGTACAAATAGACCTTTATGAGTACTTATGGTTGTCAACGTTTTAGACTCATCGTCCAGCTCTACCTGCTGATATGCTTGTGATAAATCTATCTTTGTAAATTCTTTACCCCCGCGTAGTTTAGAGAATAATTCCTCAATGCGAGGTAAAGGATACCTTTCCAATTTAAGTACAGGGTTTACTGTTACCTTGTAATCTCCGCAAATACGAATTGAACCATCCTTTTTCATAACCGGCACTATTGGTGCGCCCCACAGACTATGCGAAACCGGACTGATAATGTTTTGCTGCACCAACCGATTTAATTCCGTCTCAACTGCACCCCTCAATGCAAATGGCAAAGGTCTTGGTTTAAAAAATCTAGGTTCTGCACCTTCCTCCACGCTCAAATGTACCGTGCCTCCATTATATTTACCTAAAACATTTGACACCACATTAGGGAATTTATCAAGCAACTCCTTTTTTACTTCAGCTTCTGTTTGCTGAAGTTCCAGATTATTCAACGTTAAATTAAAACTGTTAAAAAAATCTCGCCCTAATAATGGTGGTCCCCCTCCTTTAATAATATATAATTTAATTTTTCTACATTGCCGTTGATAGGTAATGTTAACTTCAATATAACCTAAAGGTTCAATTGTTTGGCCTACATAGCTCATTAATTTTTTATGTGTTAAATTCGTAAACAAATCTCTAAAATACTCATTTTTAAAAACCTCAGATACCACGGACACAGATGCACCTGTGTCCAGTTCAAATTTAAAGTCTCTACCGTCAATACTAATGTCAATACTAATAGGTTTGTTGTTTGCGGTTAAGTTATAGTAAATGTGCTCGATTTCATCGTTATCCTCTATATAATTATTATTAAATCGACGCGTACACCTATTAGCTAAATGACCCTTAGTATTGCATATCCTACATCTGAAATCTTTATAAAAACACTTATCTTTTTGATGATTAGTTCTCCCGCAAATTTGACAGCCGTCACTGCTCGACCTTGTTGACGTAGCCGCCCCAGTTGCCACGTTTCCTTGAACCGATTCTTCATGGTTGCCCGACCTCTGCGCGACACTTGAATTGGCGCGCCGACGTTGACCTTGGCTGCTGTTTTTTCGGACAAAAAAACCTCTTCTTTCACTTGAAATTCTTTTTTCTCTTGGTAGCAGCCGGCGATTTCGACCGCTTTTTCCAATGATAACGTTGCTTTTTCTTCACAAATTCGCTCCAACATTTTTCCTTCCAAGCCCATAATGAATTTGTCCCGTAGAACTACCTCCAACTCGGTGCCAAATTGACATTTGGAAGCTAAATTCCTCACTCGGGCTGCCCATTCGTTTATATTCTCCTCCGAACTTTTAGTTGCGCCGTAGAATTTAAACCTTGCCGGAAATGGACTTGTTATCGGTTTAAAATGTGTGTCGAATAGCTTCACTAGTTCCTTATATTCCTTCGTCTCCGGAGTGACCGGCAAACACAAGCCATGGATTATACGGTACGCTTCTTCGTCACATGCGTTTAATAATAGTGCTTTTTGGACTTTCTCGTCACTAATATTGTTCGCGATGAAATATTGATCTAATCGGGCCCTAAAGATTGTCCAGTCGGTGTCTCCGCACCTGAACTCGCGAAGCTTCCCCACGTTGCTTGCTGCCATTTCAACCGGCTCGAAGCACGTGCACGTGACGAACGCCGCTATCACCACGATAGCCGCTCGTTCTTTAAACCAGCCCACTATTAAGGAGTATATATTTCTCTTTGCCACTCTGTAATCTCGTAACTGCTTTATCCTCGTCGCCAGTGTAATGTTCTTAATAACCTTGTGCAATGAAACACCAATTGCTTTAAACAACTTTACTGTGTACTCTTCAATTGACAAAATTAGACTGGCTACGCAAGGCGTAGGTACCCTCGATCTGCGGTGCGCAGGTGTCAAAACAATATAAACAAAAGTGCCAACTTAAATACACTACACTATCAATAAAAAAAAAGTTTGAGCTTCTATAGAATATTGCCGCTGCTTATAGTTTATTGAAGCTCCAACATAAACGCACCCTTAGTAAGTGTCCCTTACGAAACACATTTAGTATCTATAGGTTTTGTTTTGATAAAAGTAGCATAAGAGACCGTCTTGTATTCGCATACAGAGCTACTGATTTTTTAGTAGATCCACACGTTCTTTATTTTTATATATCAATTTGTACTGATTTCAACCAATTTTTCCCAATAAAATGATTTAAAAATATGACCTGGCAACTCTACTTAATTGTATTGTTTTTTAATAAAATGATATAGAACAAGAAATAGACCAGCTTGTCCTCATGGATATGGACTTGGACACACTAAAAGAATTTTTACCAAAGGCTGGTCCTCGACTAAAATTTTTTAAACATTTAAAAGATAGCCAGGCCTTATATAAAATGGACATTGTTGAATCTGTTGATTTAGATGCTAGTACAGATGCATCACAGTTATTAGACATGGGACCCATACCAAATTTAAATAAGTTTATATTGACATTATATAGACAAGTTCTGTGCAAGCAGAATTTAAATTAAAGTTTGCAAAAAAAAGTTAATTTTTTGTTGTGCCCCCCCAGCTCCACCAAATTAAGATAATTCAAATTAAACTGGGGCAATATTTAATTTACTGCAGTTTGTCGACAAATTTTAAAATTTATTTAAAAAGTCCAAGTATTACAGATTTTATAGCATTTTTAATTTGTTTTTAATTAGGTAAAGAAAATAATAAAAATTTAAAATGGAATAAAATCTGAAATACTTGAATTTTTGAAATAAATTTTGAAATTTGTTAATAAACTGCAGTAAATTAAATGTTGCACGACTTTAATTTGTATTATCCTAATTTGGGGGAGCATGAGGCTGGGGGCACACTAAAAAATTAACTTTTTTTCGCAACCTTTAATTTAAATTCTGCTTGCGCAGAACTTGTCTATAAAATGTCATTATAAATATGTGAACTATTTCCGACCGAAAATAAATCCACATATTATATACCCCGAATTTCTAAAACAGGAAATAGAAAACCCGTAAATGCCAAAGGGAAACTCGTGGATAAATATCGCAATTTAAAGCGAGTATTTGCACTAAATGACATCGAAGACATCGAAGAAAACGGATGTGAGGCTGTTGAATCTATCATTACAGGTACAATTTTTTAATAATTATTTATTATTAATCTTACATTTTTTAGTAATAACATTTAAAATACTTTATTGTTCACATCATTACAATATTTTAATAACTTAAAATTTTTAGACCAAATGGAAGAAAGCAAACAATGGCTAAAATTTTGGAGGGAACCTTTAGATATTGTAATGAATAATTGGAAAAAGACGTAGAAACAGCAAAGTTGCAACTGTTAAGGATTTCATTGATGAATGGCCCATTTTAAAACACGACTCATGCGCATTCTCATTGGTTTGTTTATAAATATTTTTTAGATAGAGAATGATTACATTACCATGTTTCCTGATAGTAATTCTTTGTACAATAAATGGGATGAGTTTTTCAATAAATTAAAAAAATGTTGTACTGCAGATGAAAAAACAGAAAAGCTTTTACTGAACATATCGGAGGACATAACAGAAGGTATAGTAAAGTTTATACTCGTTGAATAATATATTATGTCTTAAAGGACAATTAAAATTATACTAAATATTTAAAGTTACATTAAAATAATAATTTTAATTTACAGACAGCAAGAATGCCATACAAATTACTGCTTTATCATCATTATTCCCACCCAAAGGAAGATCCAAAATTATTAAATCCCATTGGAAGCCTACCAGTATAGAGTGTCAAGAGAGCATCATTAGTCATGTACAGGTAATTATTTATTTTTACTCAATATCACAGACGGTCTTGATGTTTTCTACCAACAAAACAATTCTGATGGTTTTTATAATTTCATCCATAAAATTCCAAGGAAACATTTTAATATTTTCATTGATTAATTCTGTTGTTTCTTTAAATAAGTTTAGTGTTATTTAGAAAAACAAAACCAAATACGTTCTGTATATATTTTAGACATATTCAAACATTGAGGAGTGTATGAAAAAAAAACTGAAAAATTTAAAAGTTTGAAAAGAAGTATTCAACCATACATGATAGTTGTGGGCCCTCAACTTACAGAAATAAATTCATCTTACTTAGTTATAGATGATAATATTTACAAAGCAAATGCAACAATTCAATGTTTTGATGTGATTTTTAAAACGTACCATGTAATGTGTGCTGAATATCCACCAGAAAGCGAGCATATATGGTATTTGGTACAACATTGTATATACGATGTAACAACAAAGTGGGATAAAAAAATTCCTAATGTATATACTATGATGACTGCAATTTAAAGTAACTAGGTAATAAATCTTCCGTCTAAAATGATTTTATGTCCATTATGCGATTTAAAATATTTTAAAATACAAAGTTTTGTTATCCACATAAGACTTAAACATAAATTTAGCGAAAAATTTCCCTGCAAACAAAAGTTATGTAGCCGAACATTTCAAACAAAATTTTCATTTAACCGATCTTGCTCCATTGTTGCGTTGACGCAACAACCATTTAATGTTTTTTTTGTGTGTAAATTATAGTACATTTGATAAATGTTAATTAATAATGTCGTTATACAAACAATAAACTATGACAAACAATTTTTTAAATTATCCATATACTTTAGTTATATTTACAATTAATTGTTTATTAATACCTTTTTTAAAGGAAATTGCAACGTTAATTATAAAAATTCCAAATAAATGTAAATAATTGACTGATATTATTGTAGTTCATACTTTGAAGAAAAAACATAATAAAGAAACGTATCTAGTATGGCCAACTTTAAAAAAATAACATTATCAGTGATTTCTGGGAGAAAAACTTATGATGTTGCGTAGACGCAACATTGGTAGGATATGGGGGAAGTATACCTAAACGTGTCAGATATTGGTAACAGTTCGTTACCGCACTGTAAATTATATATGTGTAAAGCCATTGCTTATTTTACCGTGGTAAATAAAAAGATTCAGAATATTGTTTGTACAGTATATTATAAACTGTGTTTTGTTGTGTCAAATAAGTATCAAAATGGTGAGTATTTCATTTTATAAACAAATTCGAAGTTATACATAACCTAAGAAAAATATTTTCTAATGTTTATTTGTTTATTTACTTTAGAGCAAATGCCAAAATGATGCAAATCGCCCTCTGACTCTAAAGGAATTAGAATCAATTGTTGAAATATTGGATATTGATGAAGAGTTTGACATTGCTTATATTCCTCCGGATGTTGACCAACTAACTGATGAAGAAAATATCGATGACAATGAAATAGGTGACTTTCAAAATCTACCACTGGACTTAGCAGGTTCCTTCGATATCATGATTCCAGAAGATACTGAAATCGAACGTTCAGATACTAAGGAAGATATCAATGATACTCCAATTCTACCGCCCAACATAGCACACACCTTTGACCTTACCAGGCTGGAAAATTTTGAAGGACCTTCTAGCAGTCACAAAAACAATATACAAGATAAGCAGAATAATAGAAAGGTTACATCTAAGAAAAAAACAATTAATAAAAATGTTCCACCTATGAAGAAACAAAAAACTAACGAAGATAGACAACCAACAAAACCTCAAGAAATGGCGCGTCAAAAGAAACAAAAAAATGTCGAGATAGTTTGGGGTAAAACCTCCATAGATTATGACAATATATTCGAAAATACTGAAGAACAAGATGTAAAAAATATTTCCGAAAACTTACACGGAAAAAGTCCATATGAATTTTTTAAGCTCTTCTTTGATGATGAAGTTATGCAGTCTATTATTAATTATTCTATAAAATATGCCCATACAGAAAAGAATTGCCCAGATTTCAATATGAATTTGGAAGACTTGGAAATGTTTTTTGGGATACTCATTATAAGTGGCTACCATATTTTACCTCAAGTTCCTATGTATTGGTCCACTGATACAGATAAAGGCGTTCAAATTGTCAAAGAAAGCATGTCAAGAAACAGGTTTTATAGTATAAAGCAAAATCTGCATTTGTCCGATAATAGTCAATTGGATAAGACAGACAAATTTTCAAAATTGAGGCCAGTTTTCGACCTAATAAACCAAAAATTCAAGCAATTCGGCATATTTACCCACCATTTGTCTATTGACGAGCAGATGGTGCCATATTTTGGAAGGCACTCGGCCAAGATGTTTATAAAGGGTAAACCAGTTAGATTTGGCTTTAAGTTATGGTGCCTGGCTTCAAGCGATGGATATTTGTTTCATTTTATCCCATATAGCGGCAAATCAGATAAGGAACGAAAATTTGGTCTGGGTGGAGAAGTTGTCACGAATCTTCTAGATGAAGTTCAAAATCCGAGGAATCACAAGGTCTATTTCGATAACGTTTTTACAAGTTATGCACTTATGGCGCATCTTCAAGAGAAAGGATATTTTGCAACGGGAACAGTTAGAGACCAAAGAATTGAAAAGTGCCCCGTGGAACCAAAGAAAATGATTTCTAAGAAAACACGCGGGACTTACGATGCAAGATACGATTACATAAATAATATAAGTTTGGTTCGTTGGAACGATAATTCGGTTGTAACTATGATGAGTACCTTTGAAGGTGTTGAACCTCTAGGGCAGGTTGCACGCTATAATCGTAAAGAAAAAAAAGATATTCAAGTTCAACAACCATATATGATTCAAAAATATAATAAGTATATGGGTGGCGTTGATCTTCATGACAATGGCGTGGCAAATTACAGAATCAGCATTAGGGGTAAAAAATGGTGGTGGCCACTTTTTATCAACCTTATAGATAGTGCTGTTGTAAATGCCTGGAAACTACATAGATATGTACATGGCGAAGGTAAAATATCCCAAATTGATTTTCGATCGCAATTGACAAGGTGCTTATTGCAGAAATATAAATCTGGTACAATCAATCGCCGACGATCCAATTATAATGTTTTGGACGAAATCAGATTCGACAATGTGGGACATGTAATTGAAAAAGACTCAAAGTGCAGAAATAGATGCGCACTTTGCAATAGTAATACTATTTATTTTTGCCGTAAATGCAAAAAACAACTACATGTGAATTGTTTTAACCGCTATCACAAGAGGAACTAGGGATTTTAAAAAAATGTTAACTAACTATGGATTTTACCAATGTTGCGTTTACGCAACATGCATTTTTTCATTTTTGTAATACTTTTTTTGATGTAATTTTGTTCTTGTGTCAATATAATCATAAAAATAAAAATATATTAGTAAAAAAAGATATTTTTTTTCGTCAATTCTAGTAGTGGTACAAGATGGGTTAAGCAACACTTAATACGAAAACACACAAAAGATTTTCCACATAAATCGCCAACCACAATTTCCACAGGTCGATTAAAAACTTGGCGTTGCCAATCGGAGGTCTTTGTTAATAACTATGGCAAGCCGTTTTAGTTTTTATTACACATGGCTATCAAGTCCCATTTTAATTCGACTTGATTTCCATGAGACATTAGATAATTGAAATTATATGTATTTTCCTTAAGGGAAATTACATTTTAATTACAAATTATAAATAAAATTCCTTTTTTAATAAGCATTGAAATTTTGGGTACATTAAATTGAAAAGATTAGATGTAGATGATGATTTACATTCGAAATTGTAATAAAAATACTAAAACATTTCATTTTTATTTGAAATAATAATAAAAATTATTTTTATGACAAATAGTAATTTTAATGCAAATTAATTTCCCTTAACGGAAATAGAAGTTTATTTTTGTTTATTTAAAAATAAAAGTAATTCGAGCTTTTTTTGTACACATGATCATTACCTAAGTCTCATTTTAATTCGATGTTATTTTCTGATTCTCTAAATATTGTTAGACTCTATATATTCCGGTTCTAAATTTTATTCGGGAACAACATTTCAATCAGTATTTTAAATTAAAATGTTTTTAATTTTTATGTCATTTAGGAAAGTATAAAACTATATCTTTAAGGACAAATGCATTTATATTCGTAATAGTAATTTTAATTCGTTTTATTTTAATACTTAGCATGGTCTAACGTAAATAAAATGTAACATTGTATCCAAGTCAGAAGCTACTTTAATAAAATTGAATTAAAATAAAATCCTTTTAATGTGTCATAAAATTGCTCCAAAAAACTAAAACAGTAAAAATAATTTGCATTAAAATTATAATTAGTAAATTTAATAAAATTTCTGTTAACGAAAATTGCTTTCACGTTAAGGACAATATTTAAAAATCCAATGGAAATAAATACAACAAATGCATTATTTTTACTATTTGTAAAGAAAATATGCATTCAATTTTGAAATTATAATAAAAATGTAATTTCCCTTAAGGAAAATACATATAATTTCAATTATCTAATGTCTCATGGAAATCAAGTCGAATTAAAATGGGACTTGATAGCCATGTGTAATAAAAACTAAAACGGCTTGCCATAAATAACGGGGTTAATAATGACAAAGTAACTACAAATTTATTAACATAATCAAATGAAAATGTAGGTAAAAGTAAAGATACATCCTTGATAAATTTTATGAATTGTTTAAAAAGACTTTCAGTAAGTTTTATTTCTAAATTATATAGTAACTATTCGATAACAAGAAGTACAGTACAAAAAATTATAGAAGACGTACAGTTGATTTTTACTGAACCATTGGAAATGCTTAAAGAAAAGGTTTGGGATTCATTAAGTGAAAATCAGCTTTGCCGAAATGATTGTTATGCCATGATCTCATACCTGCAAAATCCGTTTCAAAATTTGGAAACTGAATATCAGCG